CACAAAATAAATAGAAATACACCACGTACCGCATATTTTGTTTTTTTGACTGTCTTACCTAAATACGCCTATAAAATTAAACGACCAATTTTCCGAAAAAAAAAATAAATAAATAAATAAAAGACTAGAAAAAAGGTTAAAATTAAACAAATGCTCCAGCAACACAACGCATACATTGACGGAGGAACCTTTGAATGACTCTTTACTCCTACTATTACTCTAACGTTATACAAAGGCCGACATCCAAACATCTACAACATATAAATGTACGTACATATGTACGAATTCAATACAAGAGTAGTCTACACAAGCACTTAACATACGTCGCAATTGACCATGGAAGCAATAAAAGAAGCAAGCATAGAAAACATAACACGATTGCTGCAGTTGCTGTTGTTGTAGGGAACGAATGTGTGTATATTTGGTACGTACGATGGTAGATGAAAAAGTTTTAATTCCAAAATGAAAATTCGTTTGAAATTCGGTAGAATTATAAATATAATTATGTTGGGAGGAAGTATCTGTAGCGTTCTCGAATTCCTTCGAATTAGCTAGAGGCTGAAACCCCCTAATTATAGCGATCTTAAATTAAACACGAATCTAGCCTTTGCGGAAAATGTCCCGCAAGTGAAATCAGTCTTTATAACATAACGGTGCACCCCTCTCTCTCTCTCTCTCTCTCTCTCTTTGTCTCTCTCTCAAAGCGTATGGAAATAACAACAATATACTCAGTTGAAATAACAATAAACTGGGCGCAGATTTAATACCACTTCGTATTTAAAATGATGGCCAATCGAGCTGAAGAGAATTCCTCATTAAACATAAATAGTAAATTTTTGAAGAGAATATAGTAGAATCGATATATAGATTCACTAGGCTGTTAAAGCTGACCTGTAATAATTTTGTAACCTTTTCGGCTTACGGACAATACCAGCTGCAAAGAGCAGCTGTCAAATCAAGCGAAAGCGCTACTTTCCTTCATGCCGGAATATTTAAAGCGCTATTGGACAGTCAATGCTTTTAGAATAGATCTGATATACTTGCAACCAGTATGAGCACCTGTGTCTTTTAATCGAAATTTCGACATCACAAAAACTTATATCGAGACATTAAACTTGTTCTTAATTCCATACTATACAATAAACTGGAAAATTCACACACAACTTGCCCACAAACACGCTTTTGTTGGGAAAATTGATAATAAATTTTATAATAATAATATCAGTGCACTTATAACCGATCAAGTAATATTAGCCTGCAACAGACTAGAGAAAAGTCACACAGAAAAGAGCTAAAGAAACTTAAAATGAAAATGACAGACATCTGCAACTAGAGTTGAAAGGCAAATCTAAGCCCATACATGCAAGGACCCATTACTTAATAATCTGTGATAACATTGTTTACCATAGGTTAAAGGGAATCGACAACCCTTGAGGAGAGAAAAAATGTTAAATTTTTGAAGTGAACTATTTTCGTATCGCGCCCTAGATGTGCATAGTTCCATGTCAAATATCTATATATTTCAGGCAAACCTCGTATATATATTTCTATATATATATATATATATATAAACATGCATACACGCTGTGTACTGTGATTTACAAGATACACAAAATACAGAAACGAACGTTGTGTACAGATTGGTGGTTGAATGCATGGAAAGACTGAAAGAAAGACAAATAGCGAGATAGACAGACAGACAGACAGACAGACAGACAAACAAACAAACATTGAAAACATTATAACGAACTTAAAGCAGCAGCATGAGCAGATGAAGAAGAGGAAGAAGAAGAAGAAAATAAGAAGATGAAGAAGAAGAAGAAGAAACGAACGACGACGACGACGACGGTGATGAAGAAGAAAAACAGCCCCAGGAGTACAGAGGTCAGACTATAAAGAAGCCGTTAATGCTGTTTTGTAGTTGATTTCGTGTAAGCGCTTGTTTGTGAGCTTATTTGTTGGATTATTTGTTTAAACAATGAGAGAAAAATATCCCTCCAGCGCGCGCATACATGCACATACGATCAATTGCATGGAGTAAACGCGCGCGTGAATTTATGCAATGCATGATGTCGTTGTGCTACGCAGCCAATGATATCATACGAATATTTTACTATACTGTTGATGACTACTACAACAACGATGATGATAATAATGATGATGATGATGATGATGATGATGATGATGATGATGACGACGACGATGACTATAAAGCCAGCGTTGTTGCTGGCAATGCGCCTGCCAGGACTGTGTTACTGCTCTGTGTGTATGTTGATATGTTTAGAGTGATAGTTGTTGTTGTTGTTGTTGTGCTTTTTTTTTTTTTTTTCTTATTGGTCTTAGCTTTGCCGGGGGCTATATACGCAGACCATTGGGTTCACGCTTCTGCTTAAGTCCAAGCCATATACAAAAAGGTAGCGCCAAACAAAGTGCAATTGTACGTATTTTACCTTAAACACGATCATTGCGATATTGTCTAATATTTGTTCAACGGTTATTGTTGTTTTTGCTACCTCTTCCACTATTGTTAGTATCACATTTTGCATCAGCATGTAAGCAACTGCTAGGTTGTGCTGGGTTATATTGCGTTACCTCAACCTCATAGCACACTGCATACAACACACAGTACACAAAGCCGTACACGGCTTTGCCAACATATTAAAATCTGACCTTTTGCTTGAATTTCATTCGCTGGAACGTTTATGCATTTAGTATGTTTCCTATTTTCGGGTGTTTTTCATTTTCAGGCATAAATATATACAACAGCTAGGAAGTCAATTGCCTACAAATAACTATAATGTGTGAAAGGATGTATATATATATATATATGTGTATATATATATATATATATATATATATATGTAATTGTATGAATATATACATATAAGCGAGTTAACTTCTATGTTTGTCGATTTGTTAAATTAATATTTACCCACCGACAATGCTAAATGAATTTCAGTCTAATCTGACATCTGCAATCATGCAAAAATTAATAGTTTTGCGTGATCACCCCATAGATGGAGATTACTGCCGAAAATGTCCATCACTTTGTAAACTTTTTTTCAGCCAACTAAACCAGTCAACCACCACTACCACCACCATTACCACTTAACCATAGATCGACTAACTTATTGACTGCTATGCCGCATACTTTTGAAAATTTTTATAAAATTATTTAAACGCAACACTTGACAAATGCTGTCGATTTCTTTCGTGTACCTATTGAAGCCTTAAAAACAATCTTTTTCGGGGAGGATACGCAAAATAATTAACATTTTGTAATCGTTTTCATGTTTCTCTTCCTATAGCCTCACGTTACCAGAAAGACATAATGATTTTGTCGATGCAGGCTATAAACCAGTCCGTTATTCTCGTTCTTCCGAAAATTGGTTCACGTATTGACTTTTCTTTCTTATCCTCAAAATTTCATATACACTTTTAATCGAGAAGATAATACGAAAAGTTCGCATTTAATAAAAACTCAGCTCAACCTCCACCGCCGTCGAAGGAGACGATTGCCCTCGAAACTGCCCGCAGTAACTATACGTGAATGCCATCATATGATAATTTTCCAAATTTAATATTGTGGAGTTGTCCATCCGACGATTAAAGTCTAATATACATAGTTTAAACTTGGATTAAGTTCTTGTTCGATTTTTTTTTTTGTTTTCTTGAAGTCTCTTTATAATAGCTGACTTTCTAACACTACAATAACAAATCTAATAGAATTTTATTTAAGGTTTTCCCAACATAACTCTTAACCACTTTCTGCAGGATATATATTTTACTAAGCCTAAGATCTAAATGCGTCCAGTTTAGGTAATATAGCAATGTAAAGACTTTCTCTAGATTCTTTAAAATTTGTCTTCTTTTTTCAGACCTTACGAAGTTAAGTTAATAATTTTGCTAAGATGTGAGCCATAAATTCGTAAAGTCATCCGATATCTGAATATTGCTAATACTATATATCGAAAAGAAAAAGAGAAAGAGAAGAGAGAGTATCTTGCCAGCAACAGCAAAATACATCCTTCTCTCTCATACTCTGAATTCGGAAATGAATTGCATCCTCTGAATTCAGAATTGAAGCTCCCTTCGTCTTCTCTCTTCTAGGTTAGAAAATTTTTCGGTTCTATTTTTTCCATCTTAATTTACAATATCGATATATATACCGCTTAAGTTCATTCGCAATTAAAATTCTACATTTTTTGATATTGACGAGCTATCGTGTCATATGGATAACGTAACGTAATAAAATTTCCAAAATATTTCTACCTACGCTTAACTTTTGCTACTCCTACACAAGATTCTTAGGATGGATTGATTAAAATTTGACTAAATCACTTTGCTCTCTTCCTCGTGTAAGGTGTTAATGTAGCTCTCATGGGCGCGTTCGTAGACTCATAGAACTACGCATCTCCTGCATGGATCTCCTGAATTGAGCTCAATTTTTGCGTAACATATTTCTGTCTTCTAATTTAAATCGGAATGACGAAATCAACAATTAGTATATAGAATGTAGGGAACGGGTTATCAGCAATTATCAGCTTAAAAAACTCTTATCGAAAATAAAAAAAAAAAAAGTATATATATCGAAAATTAAATATCTTTCACTGCTTTCAGCTACGCGTTGATTACATTGTTATATCGGCTTTGCAACTATTCAAGCTATCTTAAGTTTAGGTTGGGTCATCTTTTGGTTTTTCTTTCTGATATGTTACGTCAAATGTCAAGTATGACATATGATATTTTTGTTATGTTTGACGACCGTAACTTTTACATTGCTATCAGAAAGTTTTTACCATAAGTAATTTTTCTTTTGATCTTTATATCATTGTTGATTAGAAAATAGTGATGAAAATATGCAATCGTTAAGTAACAAACACTTTATTGTAATTGCAATCTTTTTTTTGCCTTTTTTTTCTTTTCTACATCTTTCTCAATACATCGTGCTCGCATAAATTATATTCATTCATTTTTTTTTTTAATTTTATTCTTTACAGGTTAGGGATTTAGTGGAGAAATGCACTTGTCCCTCACAATTCCCAATGGTACGCGTCTCGGAAGGCAAATATCGTATAGGGGATACCAAAGTTTTAATCTTTGTTCGCGTAAGTACACGTACAACATCTTATACGTAAACGTTATTTTTAAAATTTCAGAACTTCGAGAAAATCGAACATTCATTTGAAGTGATTCTCTAGCAATGCATTCAGCGTTAATATCAATCATATCATGATAACATTCTCGGATACATTTTTCACTAAAGTAAGAGCGTGCAAATCATTAACTAAACTACCGTAACTACCGGTTAAATTTTTGAAATCACCTATGTCACTGCTCTTTATGGTAACACATTCTCGTTCAGTGCTGCCAACGTTGTCCTATTAAAAAGTTAGGATATCACACACCTTTGGTTTATTGTGTCCGTTCCCTGTCGAAGATTTTGTTTGACTAGAGCACCGCATGATAGTTAACTTAAAGTCGCAATGGGCTTGGAATGGATAGTTAACTTTATCGTGAATGTTTCAACTTCTTTTGTGCAGAACTTGATCAATATTGCGTGAACTCTAGTAAGATAACTTATATAACGCGTACGATTTTAAATTATCGATCGACAATATTATTTGGAAAGTTATTTTACTATATTTGTAACGTATTGTCCTAGTCCTGTATAGTGAGAGGTCTAGAAAAAAATTTCGTATTGGCTTAGTAACTTGATTTGATGATGAGAACGGTTGTGCAATCAATCCATAAACATTTTTTTATCACAGCCATCATAGGACGTATGTTAAGTTTTTTTTTTAAGTTTCACTAACGCATAAACACACGCCTTGAGAAGGTTTGAAATTTCTTAATATATACAAAGAAGGCCTCCATATATACGTGTCTAGGAGATTCTGCACTTTTCTTTAATCATTTGCACTTCCTTTTACTTGCCGTAGATGACAACATAACGAGAAAAACATACAAGACAGAAGGCAGATGTGAAGCACAACAAGCAAAAACAAGTAAAAAGAAGAAAGAAAGGGAAAAATCTGTAAGCATCTTAACCAATTATCATCATTTTCGCATTCTTTGAAGTTATGTTGTAAACTCTCAGCAATGTTCTGCACGCATTCAAACCCTTTGCAAAGTACACACACAGACTTGTCATTATATCTCACATTCGATTGCTTAATTCCCAATCAACGAACAGTTAGGCGTCTTATCAAAGAATTCATTTACTTACGTTCGTTTATTGGGATTACTGTGAATGCGAGCTTTGATCTAATTTGCAAAGATTTTTATAGCATGTGTTTTGGTCCTTCTTTGACATTCCGTTGCCGATAAGCCATAGCCAAGTCATGTAATCAGTGAAAACAAAATCAGGGCCGGACTTGCGATCGATTCTTAAGAGTTATAACAATATATGCCACAAAAGAGTAGTTCGATGACAATCGTTCTTAATGAAAAACTTTATCTATACACGCTTTATGAATCTTACGTAAGGAAATCATATAGAAGAGCTCCAGCTTTGCATAGAATATTAACATGAAATCGTTCCATTTTGACGTTCTCGATAGCCACAAGAGCTGAGTGGACATTAACAATACATAACTTACCGTAAAGCTTTTACAGTATAACTCGCATCTGTGGACGGTAACTTCCAAACTTTGCTTGGACACCCTAGGCCGCATACAGCGAAAAGCTCAAGGTGCTTAAGCATCAACGTAATGTGGCACTGTCTTGCGCTTACGTACAAGTACATTCACGCCTGGTGCTCTAAAAAGGTAAAAGCGATTGATCCACCCGTTTAACAGGACTACACATCATCCTCAGCGTTCTCAATCACTCCCGATCCCGAAGTTACTTGTATACCGCACACTACATTACCGTGATTCGTCATTTTTTTAATGGGGCTGCCCGCCATTGCAGGAACGTACCAGCAATCTTGTGATCTTCCCAGTCATACCTGTTATCTGCATTTTCAAATCGAACGTTCCCAAGGACTACTCGCTTTTTTTTACCCCATTTTTCCCGTAAGCCACCCTTATCACCAGAATATTCGCATGCATAGGCGACATCTCCTGAGTGGTTGGTCATAGAAAAAAAGACGTATTTAGCACTTGTCAACTATCTTCTCTATAAAGACGGGTGTATAAAGTCGGCGTAGGATTACAAAAACGTGTAACTATAAAACGGGACAAAGGCCAAAACGAACTGGAAGCATACATAACGAAAGCACACATGCTATCAAGTTTTCCAGTAGGCAATTAAAATTAGAAATTCAGAAATCAAGCCTTCTTTGTTTTTTAAGATTTTTAAAGCGTGTTTGGCTCCTTACTACGAATTCTATTTCCAAAGTTATAAGAAAATTTTTAATGGATATTTAAAATCTTAAATTAAAAAAATCAAGTCATTTAATGCACAAGACATCGAACTTACTTTACTGTGCTGTCAGTCTTCCTCAAACAATTCACGATTGATTTGCTGAACTACGTTCGTGTTTGTGACGATAACGGGGCTACCATAACTAGGGTCTTTAATCAACTGATGATATCATTCTAAATAAATCACCCAACAGAACCATTATTTCACGAACTGTGTATTAGTTAAAAATGCCCATCGTTTACGTCCATAGCGTCAATAAGAAAATTCCTCAATAACTTTGGATGACGCAATCCATCCGCTTTAACCATCAAAACGATGAGATTTTTCAAAAAAATATAGCCTACCAATTAGATCAGTTACCGGAAAACTATATAAAACTGACACTTGTAATGATTGAAGAATTAAACTCTTCGAAGCCGCAGGTGCGTCAATTTTGCTTATATGTTCATGTATCCAGAGACATGATAGCAATAAATTGCATTAGTCGGAATTGCTTTGTTTCAGAAATCTTAATCTTGTTTAATGCGTTCTCAGCGCTCAATCAGCGAATGCATATTAAAACCTACTACTCTCCACTGTCAGTTGAAAAATGATACGGATCCTATTAGAAGTCATTATATTAACGAATGAATGAACAATGTTAATATGCCGCCTGATCGATAGCATTAGATGTAATAACTATGCGATAATAATCGATTGCGTGATTTTTGATAATATACAATCGCTATAAAAAATGTCTAAATGGTTTCCTATTTTAATAAATTTGATGTGTAATTGAAATCATCATCCGCAACATACAAGGACGGTAGTGTTAATAAAATCTGCATTTAATGGTCAGCAAGAGTCAAGTCACTCAATTACTGATCTAACCATAATGCCACACATGTGCCACGGTGTATGTATATGTGTACGTGTGTGTATATATATATATATATATATAGTTAATGTTGTAGAGGCATGCAGGAGTTAATGTGGATCTGTGTAGAGGCCAAGCAATCCAGCAAATAAATGAACGCCGTCGTCGCAATTCACATGTGCGCTGTTACGTTCCTAAATAAAGAGAAAGAGAGAGAGAGAGAGAGAGAGAGAAGAGAGGCTAAAAGAATGTGAATCCGTGAGGTGTTTACGCAAAAATATAATAAAAATAAATTTTCACGATTTAATGTCAATTGAAGATTTAATGTCTATTTGTTGCTGTTGCTGTTGTTGCTGTTGCTGTTAGTGTTGATGTTGCTGCGCTTGTTGTATATTTAAAAAGCAACAAATATTTATTAAATGTCCAATTAGGCGATAAAGACTGAATGGAGACAAAGAAGTGTGTTGAACTTTTTTTACTGTGTTTTTTTTATTTATTTATTTTTATTTTATTTTTTATTTTTTTTTTTTTTGGTTTTTAAAAAAGCGTGTGGTGACACTTTTCTCAACTTATTGTTGAAAACAATCAACACCAAATTTGCAATAAATTTTGGAAGCAACTTCAAAAAGAAAGCAACAACAGCAATAAACACGAAACGGCGGACTTTATTGGAAATGTATTGACAACATGATGGTGAAAATAATACAAATATGTAAAAGCGTATATTTTATTAACCCATTGTGAATCGGCGATACTAAATGTGTGCATTTGCGTTTTTCTCTCTCTCTCTCTCTCTCTCTCTCTCTCTCTCTCTCTCTCTCTCTCACTCTCACTCTCTCTCACTCACTCACTCACTCTCACTCTCACTCTCACTCTCACTCTCTCCCACACACACACACACACATACCCACACTGTGTGTATACTATTTTTTTACCTAACAAAAAGTATTAAAACTTAATAAACAATCAATTGTTATTTATTTATATGTAGGCCACGAATGTATGTACCGCAAGTCATGTAAACCAACCTACGAGCAATACACTTCCTTGTCAAATATCAATAAGCGCGGCATTTGCATGCCTGCATATTTGGCCATCTAAACTTATAAAGCAGAAAAACAAAAAAACCAAAGGAAATCCTAAATTTAATTTGGAACGAATTTCAATTACGGGACAACGCATAGTTCCACTTGGTTAATATACGTTACATATTCCATCATACATCTAGTATAGTGTATATCGAGTATAAAGACATACAGATAATTGATCACAGGATACAGGAAATTGATCACAGAAAAGTCAAAGGCTCTATCAAAAAAAAGATTTCTTCCTTATCAAGTGGAACGCTATTCTGTAGCGAGACACACCTATGAAGGTCTAGATATGACAAGATTAGCGTGAATAGGTTTTTATGAACGATCTTTCGAGAAGCTTTGTGGTGACCGATGGAGGTGTTAAGGACACTGCAAAGGAGTGGAAATTGTTCATACCTCTGAGCCCGGTTACCTGAAAGTCCAAGATTATGTTAAATGGTTCTTATGGCCTCGTAGCACTGGAGGAGTAATGAAGACCCGTACATGATGTAGATCGTATCTCGCTAACTGGCCACAAACCGCACGATATCGGCCACATTGAAATTACACAGTTTAACTCGTATGCTGTAAGAAAGAGATCTTGATTGATAAACCTTGCATCTCTCATAATAAGACGTACAAATTCTGAGAATCGCTTCAAGGACTTCTTTCTGTAATCGTCTGTACAAAAGTATAATTTCAAAGAAGGAAAAGGAAGAAGATATGAAAAAAATTACATATAATATTAAGCAACTAAAGCTTTGTCAATTTAGTTTAGGGAAAAATTAGCAAATTTTCCGTCCGGTCCTCGCAGAGGCTATACACCACATGCAATGCCGATTCTTATTAACTTGGTTTCCTTCGATTTCAAGCAATTCATTAATCAGTTTGTAACGAGTTGACTTGCTTCCGTAACCTTTTGTAACTCTGCGTCACCAAAGAGTTTTACAAATTGAAGATGCATGATTTTTGTGCAGGTATTTTTTAATGTAAATATTTCGAGTGAATTCTGATTTAATGCTAAAATGAATTTAAATTCATATTTAATAAAGCAGGAAGAAAGATAGATAGATACAAGCAAGCAAACTGTGGACAAAATTGACAAAAAGATTAGATTTAATGTGAGTAAAGAGAGACAGCTAGGCACCGTTTAGCTCTTCGAACGAAAGGAATACTAGACAATTAAGCTAAACCTGTGCGTTTTGCTAATGACGAGCATCTAGGATTTAGAAGATCATTGATACATACCTTTCGCAGTTATTTCAAATTGTACTACATCCTGACAAACGCTATCCGCGGTGCTAATTTACGCTGAACATTAAAATTTTTTTTTTCAATTTTTTTTTTCAATTTTTTTTTCTACATTGTCATTAAAAAATTTCATTTTTTACATCTTCCACATATATATATATATATATATATATATACCCGCCTAGAAACAACCAATTACTGAAAATCAATCATTGCATATCTAGCAATTAAACATAACTTTTTTTTCTCATGACGGTCATTAATAAAATTCGCACGCATACATATATTCGTATACGATGAAAAGATCTGTACGTTTAAATTCAATTAATTTCGCCTAGACAACTTGCACGATAATGATGTGGATAATGATGATTAAACGCAGAGTAATTACTCTCATCCTCTATCTTAATAATCTTTTTCCCATAAACAACTTAATACGAATACTTACTCGTGTATGTGCGCATCTATTTCATATGTGCGAGACACTGGAACGCACATGCACAATGCAACGTAACGCCTAACAAGATTGACATCGGCATATATATGCATAAATTATATTTTGAAAAAATTGGTTTTTTAAGAAAATCGAATTAAATTTTTCACATTTTCTTCTCAATTTGACAGATATTACGTTCACATGTTATGGTACGAGTCGGCGGTGGCTGGGATACACTATCACATTATCTCGATAAACATGATCCCTGCCGCTGTAAGGCACAACATCGTTCCGCAGTAGCTGCTCGCCTTATACCACGTTCGAGCAATCAAAGCAACGGCATCGAACTGCACAGAGCACAGGTGATATTTGAAAGGTAAGCAATACAAATATGATCGCATACGCATACACGTAATTAAATTCGTTTTAGACATGGATGCGCTTTAAGTTTCAGGCACACATTTCACATCTCCTATATAACATTTTTATATCAACATAAACATTTTGTACTCTTTTAAAAGACTAAACAATCAAATAACGAATAAAGAATACATCGACAGAAAAATCGCTCAAACAAATAAATTGCAATAAATTATTTTGAGGTGATTTACCATAGACGGCCAACAAAGTTCACCTACTCATACACTTATTTTTGGAATATTTTTGAAAACACAAAATTGAAAGAGAAAGTTAAGATATTTTCGTAAACTCAGTACGGATAAGTTGGTAGTGTGTCTCTATCAGAGGAGATATCTAACGCTTACAACTCATAGAGATTCCCGTCAATGATGTATATATACCTTCAATCAGCATAATTAGTCGAATCGATATTTTGTCAACTTCGTTTGTCCGTCCGTGCGCTTGTTGGAACCATAAAGTAGTTAAACTATGTATGAGAATCGCGTTAATCATTGAAACGGGTCGGCCAAAATCAGTAAAAAGTAAATAAAAACACTGAGTACCCAACACAACTTCGCTTAATATAAGTTATTCATAATGCTTTATATATTTTCAAAATAATGCATTGTATGGAAAGTTGTCGAAAAAGTGCTCCGATCCAAATCATTTTCAATGGTTCAAAACATATCGGTGTACTAAATTTCAACAAAATATCTCCACAGACGACCTGTAGATTGAGCATAAGAACACACGCAAAATCATCAGACGGACAGACAAACTTAGATAACAATATATGGATCTATTTCAAATTTTTGTGAATGTTGCAAACACATCAGCAAACTTAATATACCCTATACCTCAACTAATGTATGATATAAAAAAATTCGTGGCAGTGAAAAATCAGTACCTTTTTTCCATATCAATGTTACACGTCCACGTTCCTTCGAACCTTTGTTACTTACGGTCACATAAATCCCTACAAAACCGAGGCAAGCGTTCTCGAAACAGAGACATAAGTGTACGTACGAAAAATATATTATTATTATTATTATTATTATTATTACAAACTTAACCAGAGAATAAATTCTAAGACTAAAGTCTTAAAGCACTAGCATCTAAGGCTTTCGGCTTTATTAAAAACTCTACCGCACTTGAGATTTGAACCCACGACCATTGAGTTGCTAGTCGAGACTCTTGCCTACTCGGCCACTCAGGCAAAAAATATAATATTTGCAATTGTTGCTGAAAAAAAATTTTCGGAAGGATATTCTTTTTCTGGTTTATTATAACGTATATCGTATCCGAATAAAGATACAAAGTTCATTTGGTTGACTTATCTTGCTACGAATTTACAATTAGCTCAGAAAGGCAATATGATCTCTCCAAAGCTACTACTACTAATAAGCTAATAGTAATGCTTTAACATAAGTTAAGTTAACATAAGTTAAGTTTCCGTTCTATTTATTAGATAGACCTTTTTCGGCATTTTAAAGGACATATAATCATTTCATTTTAATCACTGCTTGCCCCGCATTACGTCGTAAAAGCGAGTTTTTTCTCTTACAATATTTAAATGAAAAAAAAAATTTCATTTTAATTTGTCAGTAACTCGATATGTATTCGCGCAGCATGCTATACATTAACAAATCGTACAAATTACTTAAAGCTGCGCCTTTTTTTTTCACAATTATGTACTTGTTTACATTTCGTTATAAAACATATGTAAATCAAATGAATATGTCAACATTTTCCTAACTTAGATAATTCATTTGATAAAGTTGCATATTAGATACGCGGAAGCGTCTGCACCGCCTTCTATGTTGCGTGTTAAGCTCATTTCCGTCACTTTTTTTTTTTTTGGTCGAAATTCTCTGCTCTACGCCGCAAAGAAATCTGCTGGTCATGTTGCGATACCTCAACTGTAAGTATTGTTCACTTATTCCGCAAGCCTTTAATGCTATCTTAGGGCATTGGACTGAGTTTTGCATCCTTACAACGTATAATGAACGGTTAATTCATTTTCTATCAAATGACATTTGAGGAGGGAAGTTTTTTTATCTCTGAGACCATCTTCGCTTGATTACAAACATCGAACAAACAAATAAATTAGAAGTTTTGGGCAATACATTATCTTAGATCTTTAGAAAAATTACTTACTACGTACAGGCTTCAAGGTCTCATAGATCTAAATCTTAGCAAATGTGAATAATCATCAATTAATTTTTCGATTGTCTAATATTCCACCTAATAGATTAGCGACCGCTGCAGACAACACATTGCAAATAAATAAAAAGTCTTCAGCACTTCTATTCATCTAGAAAGCATTACGCTTTCAATTGATGAAAATTCATTCTACGTAATATTGTCGGTTAATAATTCAATCTTTCGTGATTTCATTCATATCATAAAAAGGACTAAGCATAAAGGTTTCTGTAAGGGCCTTGCTTGTCCGGTTTTCTCAGTACAGGCTGCCCTTGAAAATCAATATGTACCGACGGAAGAATTAAAGCTTACATTATATATATAGTTTTTAACTTTATTTAAGTCAATAGATCAAATTTAAGAGAAATGAGGCATTACGGTTGCGGCAAGGCCGACCCTTAAATACCTTATAGTACTTTGTTTAATACCAATGTTAATTCATTTTCATGATAATCAAAAATTACACCTTGTTTTCGTGTAATCGCGTACTTTAAATGAAAACTCTTATAATAACTTAGGCTGAGCAAAACGTAGACTAAGGCGGAAATTTTAACTTTCTTGCTAAAGATTTTATTATTCTTCAGCTAAAACTACAAACTAAACATTATTGTCCTATCCGTATAAACTTAATAGAGTGTAAACAGGTTTGTATAGGTTTTGCACAAACATGTTAAATTAATTTTAAAATAATTAGTAAAAATTAAAAAAAAAAAAAACAAAAACGATCTTCTGACATAAAACTTTGCTCTACACTGCAAGATGGCATCTACACAGTAGAAGAAATACATCTTGGAAAAGTTCGAAATGTGTCGCAAAACCGGGTTCTCGCCACCAAGGCATGTATAATTTTTTATGCTTGTTAATATTGATATCACATGTAATACGGATGCTACCTCCATTGCTTTTCTGTGAAAATACATTTCCACAGTAGAGAGAACTGCAATTTCAGTCCATGCATTCGAATTTTGATCCCATATTGTAGTTTAACACTATATATATATATATATATATTACATACAGATATACTTATTTCATTGGTATTAACATGAAGTGCTTCAATCATATGACCACAGGAATCTTCCCATACATTTGAACTATAATGCGAAATCCATATCCTTCCAAGGCATTTTGAATACTTACTTTTCCCAACTCGCTTGACTATTTCGAGTCTAATCACGTTTTATATCACTAATAAATTTTAAAATCAGGCATTAGAGCCGATAGCCTGTGTTGCTAGTGCTCAATGTCTTTTTTTAGTCTAAGAATTCATTTCATTAGTCTAAAATAAAAATAATAATAATAATAATAATAAAATCAGGCATGAACACGTAACAAGTTAATTTTGCTTCAAGTATTATAAATGGAAAAAATGTTATGAAATCTTTCATAAACTAGTGAGGAGCCTTCTTGAGATGCAGCATAGCATTGCTGAGATTTTTTTTTTTTTTTTTTGGAGGGGTCTACAGGCCTACATGTACAGGAATATTTCTTAAACGTGTGTTCAGGTGTCATATTAGAATACATTCTTCCAAAGTGCACTCTGCATATAACTTCCCTTGAAATGTTTATCGTTTATCCAACCGTTAGTTGGCTGTATTTATACCGTACACCATTTGTGCTATAGGGTATATTAATTTAGTGCGGCAGAAAAGCTTAAGACAAACACACCTTTTATTGTACCAATCGGTCTAGTTTTTCAACCACTCCTCATATAATGTCTTATCAAAACACGGCAACTATTCAAAACAAATCGTTGAATGGGGAATGGTCGAAAAAATAGACCGATGCAAAGAATTTTCAATAGGGTTGGGTGTGGAAAAAAATTGCAATTTTCAAAATTTTTTAGTCAAAACTCGCTGTGTAATGGTATTTCGTCATTCTTAGTGATGTAAAAAGTTCGATTTGGCTGTGGCAATTTTTTGAATCCCCTCGCATATAACCGCTCTCACGAAAACTTATTCTTGATATGATCAGAAAGTCGAATATTCAATATATTAAATTTATGGTGGACTTACCAAATATGAACGACGTAGGTTTTTTTTTTCTTTTTTTTTTTTTTTTTTGATACCACAGCCAATAAGGACTCGTAGGAAATGTGAACTATTGTACGACGAAAAGGACTAATTTTTAATGTTTTATGATGAAATTTTTGTTCATAATAATAAATTGACAGGAAAAGTGAATGGACCATACTTGAACCAAATTCTTGGACCCCACTCCTCAGAAATAGTAAGCCGTTCAGAAAGAGATAAATTAAATTTACTAAATTTGAATCACGTCATACGATGTGTAGGGTATAAAACGAATGACTTGGCCTGACTATAGTGTTCTTATTTGTTTTAAATTTAATTACGTCAATCAGCAACTTACCAGCTCACAGCGATTATGTCACAACTTTTTTGTAGTGTAGACGATAGATTAGACCAAAATAAGCCGATTTAAAAACGTTCAGTTAACGTTCAATTAACTTTGAAAGTATTTAAAGGTTTCAAGTTTCCAAAGGCAATGTCATTACTCCCCGTTTGTGTGCGTTTGTGTATGCTAATTTGGGTGTGAGTGTGTGAATCATATTACGTTATATGCGTTATTGCATTCAACACTAATCAACTGCATAACAACCTACTATTTACAGATCACCGCCCTCAGCTCGAAAAATTATTTCCACTTTCAATAATCAAAATTCTGGAAGTCTTCACAATTTCAACGGTAATAATATGTCACACAATATGGCCAATCTGTCGCCTAGTTATGGTGCTTTAAATAAAAATCGCAGTCGCAGTCCAACACCACAACAAAAATTTCTACATCAAAGCATAAACAATATAAACACGGGTGGTGTAACGGATATGCCCGCCAATACGGGGCTCAATGTTATTGATAAATTGCATCCCAGTTCTGTTTCACCAAATTTCGCTCGTCGTTCTATGTCGCCGAGTCCACGACGTCTAATGGATATGCGAAAGAAATCAACGGCATTGGATGCATGCAATAATGGGCCAAAATCTTTACCCATTACTGCTGAGTATGAAAATTTCGAACAGTCACCAGTCTTAGTAGCGAATTCAAGTCAAAACTCAGAAACAAACACGAATAGCAATAAATTTGAAAATATTAGCGATAACGGCAGTGAGATCAGCGATGAAGGGTACCGCAGTTTGGGTGTCATACAGTCGAATGCTCAAAAACGCGAATCGTTACATAGCCAAACCTCAACCGATGACGCTGAAAACAATGGTACGCATCACTTAATCGAGATCATGTAATGATTTTTGAAATTCATTGCGTTTTAAATAAAATTCTATTTTTTGTCTCTTTCTTGATAGCGCGTCACGATCAAACATCAAGCGATTCGCAACTTTCACCTACAGAAGAAGCTACCGCCTCAAATAAGACACCCGAAAATGTAGAGAACATTTACACGCAGAATGACGATCTGCAACTTGATAATGGACCGCAATCATTGCCTGCGGTTTTACCTATCGACAGCGCAAATAAATTTGAACAATCAGGTGTTTACATAACCGACGAAGATATAACTGTTGATATTGCCAGTACAACCGGCTTAAGAAAGACGGACTTTTCAAATAAAATTTTTGGCATAACCAACGGAGAAGACAACACCGACAGTACTACCACTATGAAAATGTCGACAATTGAACCAGCAAAAGCAAAAGTCAATTACAGCAAAATACCGTTCTCGCCACTGGTCACATCGCAACGCAGACGTAGCGTTGATAGCAGCAATTGCAATTCGACTGGCAGTTTACAAGATTTGCATTCACGTACCGGTCTACCGGCTTTTAATCGCAACAAACCAGCTTACAGATCGGTCAGAAAACCGAACACTTCTCAATTTGCTAACGAAATGGCATCCGTGAAGAAACACAAGGGACCAGCATCTTTGGCTACTGCAGGTCGCGATGTTACAAACACTTGGAGTGGAAGGTCTACGGCAAAGACTGGAGGTAAAAAGCGACCAACGCTATCAAGCGAAACGTTCACTCCGACAACAGCTAACGATAACAATTCAACCGTAGCGGGCTCTACTCTGGAACGTAATTCAAAAACAAGATCCTCACATATTTTATATGATAGCAATGGCCGACGCATTAAGGGATGCACAACTTCTTTGACTACATCGCCTGTTAAAAATCATGCATCTTCCCCGTTAGCCCAGCAATTGCTCGAAGCGGCCAGTAGCGCCAAAAACGATGCTCAGATTTTAGAGAAAATGAAAACATTATTATTACGTTATTCGGCGAGTAATATCGAAGTGCAAGCCTCTTCACATTCAACCAATGCTACGCAGCGCAATGGAACGCATGCAAAAAAAGCGGTATATGAAGACTTTACCGCCGCCTGGGTGAATAGCAACGGTACTCTGGAACGTTCGAGTAGTTGCTCGCCGCCAGCAAAACCTCGCTCTAAGCGTAGTTCGGCGGCTTCGTCCACTGAAAGTACGAATTCACGTGACATGTCTGTAATAGTATCACCACGTCGCGATCGTGGCCTCTCTAAAATTCCTGCCCCCGTGCGCCAACACACGGAGCTTTACTAACAAAAAATATCACCACAGATCCGTCGGATAGTGGGATATCAGAAATCGCCTAAGAAACCATAACAATACCTTTGTTTTTATAATTACAATTACTTTAAATGAAACGGATAGAAAAGTCAGCGGATCAAAGATCCTCTTATCGTTGCGCAGTAAAGCGAATTGGAATGAGACAAATTTTTTTAAGATTGTGTAAAAAATAGTTATTAACTTTTAAAACAAAATTTTAACATAAATCCGATTTGGATTTACATCAGCGATTCTCAGTCTTTCAGCCCAAATCGTATTCAAGCGAACGATATTATTTTGATATCTTTCTGTAAAGAATTGGATTGATTTGGTTCTGATAAGCGCGTTAGGGATCTTAATTGAATTCAGTGCTGTCCTAATATCGTCGACAAAAACAACTTGGCATATTCTTTAGATGGACTAAAAGCGATTACTGTAATATACAAAATACGCATTTCTCAAAGGCTATTGTTAGGTTATGTCACAAAGCTTTCATTAGGGTACATTTCTGATGGTACATTTACGCTGTCCATACCATACCATACCATAATTTCGATTACCTACTGCTATCGTGATATGCGATCATTTGAAATCGTTATCATTTCATGTTCATTTTTAAAAGTTCTCGCCGCTCGCTTAAGATGCAAATTTGTTAAGTCCGTCATACGAGATTACTTTTCCCGCAAATTTTCCAAGTACATTTTTTCAATGTCGCACGTGATCCCCTCATTATATCCGGCACCGTGATATATGCTAAACTCACAACGTTTTTTCCAATCATATCAATATATATATGGATGTTATATATAGTGATGCAAAAGCTGGACATATACTATTTACTCATACTCACGTTCACATGACTCATTAATAGCGTCAACATTATTTGGAAGTATGTAATTTTTCTACGCTAAATAAAGACGTGCTTCCAAGTGGTAGCGTGCACAAATGAAAGTGATGAATTTTCACTTCTCGTTACGCGTGATCACAATATTTGAAAAATGGATCGAGGGTTTTTGTGTTATTGTCAATATAGAAATTCGTCTGAGGATATCTCTTGAAGTCCGAGGAGCAGAGTTCGAATTTGTATTTTCCTTTCAAACGTTTCAATACTATATGTAATTGTTACGCTTTAGCGCCAGCATTTCGTATACATTCAACTTTGACTGGTCATTTCCTGCAAGCACTATTTTGAACATTAGAATTCCCAGTATATCTACTGCTTCTAACCATGCATTCATAGGTCCTTCAGAAACTTTCGATAAGTCTGCATAGCTTTGCATGGAATTTCCGCATACTTATCAGCGAAGGTTCAAACGCCACCTATCATATCATATTTGGACTAATGGGTTTTTTATATATACTCTAGCGTTTAAATTATTAAAGATTTTTTGTGAGCAAAAGGCTCAGGCTAGCTTTCAGATAACCTGATTTATTAATATTTTGTTTTTTGTTTTTATATTCTGCTTTGAAGACACATTAATAATAAAATCGAAGCCGTACGTATATTTATCGAGAATTATGAATTATATGACATAAAAGAGAACTCGATCATAAAAGAGAACTAAATCCTTTTTAAGAAAAAAAAAAAGTATCTGAGTTATATATGTAGATTAGGTAAGGGGTATTGAGTAGTGAGAGTATTGAGATTAGGAGACTGCCATCAATCAATCTTTTTACACATATAACGAGCTATTTTCTTAAAAATACAAATTTAAAAATATTTTAACTAAAGTGAAAATATAAAAAAAAAAAAAAAAAAAAAACTTTTTTTAATACGAACCAATTATAAGCATTAGAGAAACGAAACGAAAGCCTCAAAGAAAATTTTTTTTAAATCAGGTCTAAACTATTTAATATTACATCTAAATAATACAATTAGAAAGAGAAATCGACAACAACAACAACAACAACAACAACAACAACAATAATAATAATATAATAAAAAAGAAAAAAATGAAAAAAGAATGCCTCTTACATTAGGGTACACACTTACCTACATAGACATGTAGATAAATAGTAAAAGAACAGATCCCTGAAAAGCAGAAATATTTTAAAAAATATTTACTTGAATAAAATTTGTTAAGAAAATTTTTAATTAGCATTAATAAGCGTAGAGAATAAAATATAAAAAAACGAAAACGAAAATTATACAAATACTTAGAAAACTTAAATGACAGATATTTTTGCACATGTTTGTACGCTCCGAGGACTTAGACGACCATATTTAGTTTATATAGCAAAGTAAGAGAAGGGTTTTCATCTTTTTTTTTTTATTCTCTCTCTCTTTTTCTTTTTTGATCGGACAGTTATATTCATATATTAACGGGCTCAAAATTCTCAATAAATGGCTTTAAATAAATGAAATGAACAAAAATTACATAATAGCAACGAGATATTAATCATATGCATGTATAAACATATAGTTTACTTTTACTTACAAAATTTTAGTTAAGTTTGTGCTTCTCATTTTTCAACTTTTTTTCTTTGTTTTTAGTTTTTTTATCTCTCTTTAATCTTTCGCATATGCAAAGTTTACAATAATACAATACTGCAAATGATGTTTATGTTAACGATGATAATAATAATGATGATAATGATGGCAAGTTCAATAGAAAGAGCTTCTTTTAGAATTTTTGTTGTTATTAAATATAATTAAGATGTTTAAATTTAAAAAAAAAAAAAAAAAAAAAAACAAATAAGCAAAGAAAAAAATTGATGAATAATGATGAGCATGCATAAGAGGGAGAAACGCTTAGGCATGCAAATGTAGGGTTGTGAACGATCCTTTAGTTACTATGAAAGCAAAATAATAATAATTTCCCTAATCCTAGAGAGTCAGTTAACACAAAATACACACACACACACACACACACACACACCCAAAATCATTCAAACAAACTCCATTGGGTTAATTAAAACGAAGTAGACGATGAACGCTCAACTTTTATGCGCGCATCAATGTTGAACAACAAGCAACACGCTTGCAAATTTTTCGTTTAGTTTAGCTCGCAAATACACAGATTAAAAATCATAGCTCGCTAGCAATCGATAATACTTCCTTTGATAATCCTTCAACTTTCCAATATAAATATCGGATTATATATTATTTTACTTACTTACTGTCCTGGCAAACTTTTATTTCCAGAAAGCATCTCTTGCCTCTTACGTTTTGATCGCTTTGCATACGAAGATCGTGCTCACTGCCTGTCAGCGTACGAGGTTTAAATGCAACTGGTGCCTATACTACAAACCAAAATTGATGGGAATTAATTAGCTTAAGATTCTGAGCGAAAGTTATGAGTTTATTTTTTTATTTTTCGTTACGTAAATCTTTCATTGTAAGGGTCTTTAATCGTCTAAGTGATTGCTAAATGCGAATAAGCAGAAATCCTTCGCTAGTGAACTGAATTGTGGGCATAGTTTGCCTTCTAAGCGTGACCTTGCTAGGCCATATCTGGCCCGTTGTGATAAAATTTTATAGTAAATTAAGAATAAATGCATACTGAACCAGATTGATAAGGAATAATAAAATATATGTAGCAAACTTCTTAACGCTCTCATAACGCATTCTAGTAAAGCAATTTATTTCACTTGAAACTTTTTTACTTAACTTTTTAATTCCCGATACTTTTCGTTAGGATGGTATGGATATTAAATCTTCCTAGTTCCTCGGCGGAGTATTTTTTGATAGTCAACGGTATCGTTTTATCCCTTTTATTTTGTCTCTCCTCCTGCCATACTTTGTCCCTTATTTAAATTCACTTCCACGCTCTCTCTCTCTCTATCTCTCTCTTTCTCTCTTTCTCTTTCTCTCTCTCTCTTTATCTTTCTCTGCCCGTCTTTATATATACAAATATATGTAATTATAAAAATACATATATGTATACACATACATGTATGAATGTATGTACAAATGAATTATAGCTAAAAAAAAGAAAAAAAAAAAACAAATAATCTGTCTACATCAGGCTGAAAGTGATTGAAACGCCTAAATATATGTTATGCATATTAACAAGAATTAACGTTCCTCTGTTTGGTTGAAAACTAGTTAAACATACGAAGCTAAGATAAACTAAAAAAGAATTCGGAGAAAAGCAGATTTCCTATAATAGTAAAGTTATTCTCAGATCTTAGATGAAAACATATTGATGAGCAAATGGAGACGGTAGTTGGCATCTTAAGCATATGCTTACTAAATCATACTATCTGTTAACCATATGTTGATTGCTTTGTCTACTGATCGATGAAGGTTTATAGTAGCATCGTTTCTTTTTTTCTTTTTTTTTTCTTCTTTGCTTTCTTTTTGACAGAATTCTAAGGAAATAATAGTTTTCAACCAAAGAGTTAGCTTATCTTACTCACATACATATTCACTTTCTCTCTCTCGCTCCTTATCATTATATTCTACTACTACTACTATTACCCTCTATTTATATATTAATTACGATTAAAATGTAAAACAAAACAAATAAATAAATAAATAAATGATTTCTGGTGCTTATAAAACACATATGACGTAAACTGATTATAATTACTTAACAGAAGCAAAAAAATACACACATATAGACAAACACAAACACACACACACATTTCATTTAAATATTAAATATTATTCAAAACAAAGAAATACTTTCTCGTTCGCTCTTTTTGATTATAACCGCAAATAAAATGAAAATTAAAAAAAATAAAAATTAAAAAATAAAACCTTTATTATTAAAGTTAAATTGTGCACCTTACATAATTAATTATATATTTGAGAACATCCTTGCATACTATTATATATATGCATATATATGCATATGAACACTTATGCATATACATAAGGTATGTAATATTTAATCCCATTACTTACATATAAAGTCTAAAATCATAAAAAAAAAAATTAAAAAAAAAAAAGAAAACAAGAAGACGAAGACGAAGTAGAAGAAGAAAAAAGAACAAACTTTTAATATCATTTGCAAAAATGCTCACACGATCACAATCGTCGAATATTTTCAAGTCTTATTAAAAACCCTCTTAAAAATGTATTAAGAATGTCACAAGAGACCATAGTAATGAAAAAATCCAATTATTCCTTTTTTTTGTTTTTTTACAACATTTTTTAATTGTTATTTATTATGAATATAGAAAGTTAAAAACAAAAAATAAATAAGTGCACAACTCGATCATAAGTTTATTATTTATAACTCATGAAAAATATTGTTGTCTTTAACTGTCATTCTTTTCGTTCCCGCTTAGGACAACAAATTTCGGTTAAAGTGCAAGATTAGTATGAAAAATTCAAGATAGATTTGATCTCTCGTTCATAATTATTGCAGACATCTACTATTATTATTTATATATTTTTTTATTTATTTTTTATTTATTTTTTATTTTATTTTTTTTTTGATTCGCACTTTAACCAAAAAATCAGTCTTAATCGTGTACGTTGAGAATGATCCCTAAACAGGAAATTAAACCCAGCATTTTAATAATATTTTCATACATTTTTTTGTACGTATATGTTATGAGTAAATTATTTGAACGGTAACACAAACTTTTCTTATTATTATTATTATTATTCTTTTCTTTAATTGAACTTGTTAATAAAATATAGTTTTGCTAAACCCTCTAAATTCAGAAAAAATGAAACATATTTTAAGCCGATATTCCATTAAAGTATTTTGAAAATAATTTCTCTATTATAAGTTTGGGCGGATGTCTGCAATACCTGGGCGAACTTGAGATAGATGTACCTTTGATTATATCAATCCATTCAGAAATACTTTCTAAATTGATCCCTATGTCCATCTGTCTGTCTTGTCTTACTTTTTCTCTTTTTTTTTCATCTTCAACCTAGAGGTCGCAAATTTTTAAAATAGTTTGGTGCAACACTATTGAAAATAGTTCGAATCGATGGATGTAACAAAAATATTATTTTAAAAAATTGTTATATGGATAGTTGTCGGGTGGTGGGCCGCGGCCCACTTTTGTACAGGAGACATTTTTTATTCCAGCAAATATGCCTGGAAGAACTTTACAATACATTTAAATTTTGATATAATATGAAGCTATAATTACTTTAGCATTTCTCTATTATTTTATGTTCATATGGCAACACTGGTTTGTTACTGCCACATAAGGCTATCATTTGGTTCTTGAGTACTTGAACGCATCATTATAGAAAGCAGAAGAATCAAATGCGTCCGATTTGTTCGGTTTCTCTCACATTCTACCTTAGGTTTGTCGCGATCTGAAATTCTTTATAACGGCCATAATGCGACCCAATTAATGGGTCTAGTGAGTTTACCATCTCACCTCATTTAACTGCAGTTTTCATTTCCAAGCATCGTATTTTCCTCAATTATTTGATTTCTCTTTCTCCAATTTGTGCAGAAGATTGCTTCTTCTTCTCGCACGTATCCGTCCCTGTTCAGCGAATGAGATAAAACCAAACCTCGAGAGATTTTATCTATTAATCTATTTATATTTCATTTTACGACAGGATCGAGGTTCGAGTCTTCCGAAAGAACCGACACCAATATCAGGAACGAACATCTTGAGAATAGTTCATCAATATGAACGGAAATATTTACTATACTTTCTCGATTTGATTATCGATTACCGACATGCTTAAATAACGACGATGTTTGATATTTTTTCGAATTTCACGATTTTCTCAGGGACATGTCATCAAACTGAACTGAGAGTAAATTTCGATAATTATCAATTAATTGCCGACAGCAATATTCAAGCATCTGTTGATAATAATATTATATTAACAATGAAATTTCATTTTGAAAGCGCAGAGAAATGCCCTTTCGATGCCCTTACGTCACAATTGTGCTTAGTTTTAGCGAATATTTACAGACATGAATTCCATCTACTTATGAAAGCTTCCACCATCATTTATATGATTTCAAAAGTACGTTTCAATTTTTATAAAATTAATAAACAAGAATTTGTTTCTTAAGCTTAAAAAAAAAATAAAAAAAAAATTAATTCTTTGAGCGAATGTGTTGTAAATGCATATAAAAAGCGAATTATTTGAATTCACAATAATTATATTATGGAACGCGAATCCTCCTTCAATTATTATTATATCGTTAATTATTTGTTTTACATCCATATCCATAAAAATTTAATTAAAAATTAAAAACCCAATAAAAAAAAAAAAAAAAAAAAAAAAAAAAAAAAAAAAACTTAAACGAAAAATAAAATTTTCAAGCGTTTTAATAAAGGGCAAATATTTCTCTGATCTCAGGTGCACATGGTTACGTTAATCAAGGTCAAACAAAGTCATTGATAATTCTCAATATTTATTTACGCTACTTTCAGTATGCGTCAAATGAACTGCCCTTTCATAAATTTATATGCCAAGAATAAGCGAATAAAGCTGAAAGGGACGATTCTTGATTTTGTATCTTTGTTGTATTTTTCAAAGGTAAATTATATACACACCGATGTACATTAAAACTTTATAGCAGGCGGGATGAGCCAGTAAATACATCAGACCACTACGTCTGATATAATTCTTTAAACATTCTTTCATAAAATACCCAAATACCAGAAATTGTACTTTGCTTGTATTTGGCATTTTGGATAGGATGGGACCGTTGTGTGAATGTATCTCGATCTATATATAAATGTTCTTATTGCAAATTAATCTTTATGTGAATTACGAGATTTTATTTTTAGTAATTTAGGGCAAACATCAGTCCAAATTAGTGATTTGACATATAAATTCAATGGGTTAAGTTTGGATCACATTACTTTATTTTTCGATCTCCTATGCACATAAGAGTTCTCGTGAAAATTAAACCTTTATATGGCGGCATTTTTTTGCAGATAGATGAAGAATTGTATCGGGCGAACTGAAGTAGAGTATTCAATCGGTCAGTCTTACGCGATTATAAGCTCCTAAGTTGGCTTAGTATAACGAAATTACGATTTATTTTAACAATAATTTACATTCAAATTTTTTGATGTCAAGCCGACTTCGAATTTTGCCGTCTTGCTAAAATTTCTTACATGGACGACGTTGTTGACAATATTTTTTTCTCCTTCTTGAACGAAAACAGGCTCGGTTGCCTCGGTTGCCTCGGTTCATACATATTTGCATGCTGGGTTTGCGCCACTGACGGACGTTCCATTTCAAATCTTAAAGATTCTCAGCCCCTATTTAGGATGAAAATAACTTGAAACTTAACAGGAATATCGAATTTCAGAGCCAATAATCGTTGTTCAATTCAATTAACATCATTTACGAGATAACAAGATGAATACTGAGAAACAAGGTAATTTTTTTTTCTTTTTTTTTTTTTTTTTTATTCTCGATAATTACTGGAAGAAAATTATGAAGGCAGACGCATTAAAATGGATTTTATTACAGTGACAATCAACTGGACGTCTGCATCATAAACTTGCTTCTATATAATATTTCATCGATGAGATTGTTGCGGTAAGAAGTAAAAGGCATCTTGAGTACGATTGCCGTCAATTTTGTCGCTTACTTCACTTGTTACTTCCACTCGTTTTTGCTTTCAATAAAGATATCTGACAATGTTCTTATTACTATTATTGTTATTATTATTATTATTGCTGCTTAGCGGAGAAGAGTTGTGCGTGTTGC